TTTCATCCTACAAATTCATTTCCTGATTATAAAGTTGGTACAGAATGGTCTGGTAAATATACAATTGTATTAAACTCAGATAATAAAAGATTTGGAGGCCATGATAGAATAAATGAGAGCATACCTTATTTTTCAACACCTGAATCTTGGAATGTAAGAAAGAATTCCATCAAGGTATATATAAATATAAATATTGTGAATATGACTATACATATGATTATTGTATTTTTTAATTAAAATTTTTATTTTTTAGGTTTATATTCCATGTCATATTGCATTAGTTTTAGCACGTGATTAAGTTTTTTAAAATTTGCATTTTCAAATTATTTATTTTTTAATAATTTGTAACATTATTATTTATGATTAAATAAATATCACACAATAAATCAAAATTTTATCATTGCCATTTATATTTTAAAATTATTAAATTATTCAATTATTATAAAAAGATTTGAAATAACAAAAAAAATTAATTGTAGGATTTCGATGGCAGCTTTAATGTGTGAACATGCACTATTCCATATCAAATATCTCATACAATGTAACAACCATGCCAGGATTGTCAGGTACATGCTCTAGATTTTTTTTGATGGTGGAAAATAAATACTTGTCAAGACTAAATTCAATAAAATCAACACAATTGTTTTGAATGAATTTGGATGCTTCTACATCTTCATATTTATTAATATTTTGGAATGCTATTGATATTTCTTGCTAAAGGCTCTCTGAGTTGACTCTCTTTCTGTCAACATATTCTTGCAATGGTTCATTTCTTTATCCAATGTTTCTTTTATATTATTCCATAATTGTTTTTGCATTTCACATACAAGTATTATTGCACAAAGTGTATCCATATTAACATGCAGCACATTTATTCTTTGTTGAAATCTTAGCAACTTAGGTTGCTTTCTCTACTAGAATAAGTCCAAAATTGCACTTAATTTATATCCATCCAACCACTTCTAATACATTGTACAAATTCCAAAGCTCCATTCAAGGTTAGTTATCCATTAGTGTTCCTGCAATATCCTTGTTATCCATACATCCATCTATTTAGTTATTTTCATGAGTGGATTTCTAATAAACAATTCTGTCATTAAATTAGAGCTATCTTGCTCAGCTTATCACATCAGCAGCTAATCAGTACTTGACAAATTGCAAAAATCATGTCATGACAAATATTAAAAGAAGAATCAATAAATGAATTCAACATAAATTGGCTTAGATACCATTTTCAAAGAAAAGTCTTATAAAATCCTTTACAGTGGTTCGAGACTTTCACTTCCATCATTTACATACTATCGACAAACTGATGGTATATGTGCTTCTGTCCACCTACAAAGGCCAAAAAAATTGGTGAAAGGAATGATGCTGATGAATATGAAAAAATTAGATTTGGAGGGGTGTAGAGTAGTTGGCATTGACAATGGAAGAAGGGATTTATTTGTGCTGTAGACCAAAATGAAAAAGCAATTAAATGCAGCACAAAAAATATTATGAGATGGCTGGGTTTAGGAAGGCAAGAAAAAAAAGTGAAGCTTGGATGAATAAAAATAAACGCATACAAGCTAAGCATGTTGGTCGAAATTGCCTCTCTTAATAAATGATCATTGCCGAATCCAAAATGCCAAAATATTTTTCATAGTTACCAAATCAACTTTATTATTATATCTGAGATTATTTGAACACTTTAGCTCAATAGCCAAAATTCTAGGTAGTTTTTTATGTCTATTGATATAAAGAATATTGTAAATCTGAAATTGCTTGCCGAAATTGATTTTTTCAAAAACCATTTCGGCTAACATCCTTAATAATATAATTACAATTCATATAATTATTTTATCAAGTTTCAAGTTTTAAAGCCAAATATTAACTTCAGCACTAAACCTATATTACTATTATATTATTCTCAAAAATATATTTATTATTAGTTTTTTGAGTTGTGGTAAATTTATTATAAAGGATGTTTTTATGACTAGTATCTATTGCTCATTTAATATTACCTTACATTTTCAGGTGAATAATTTCAATATTACTATCACTAAGGCGTTTATTACCATTATTATTAATATTATCATTGTTATTATTATTATTATTATTATTATTATTATTGTCATTACTTTTATCAAAGATGACCTCAGTATTACTATCAGTATTAACATTTATAGATGAAATAATTTCAATATTATTATTAGTATTGATTTCTTTTTCATCATTGTTAGTCAATTTTTTGGATTTCTTTTTTCTTCTATATAAAACTAGCCCAACAATAATAAGAATGATAAAAACTACACCAGCCATAACAGATCCAACAATTATAGCTACATTATTATTACCATTTTCACCTGGCATTATAGGCTGATTATTAATGCTGGTTGGAGTTTGTTGACTATCAGTGCTGGCAGTGGCTGTTGTTGATTGATAGGTGCTGGTGGTGGCTGGTATTGGTTGACTTGAAGGAACAAATGTGTCCAGCCATTTATAATTATATTTATCACTAATGTCCAATATCAAAATATTTTGATAAGGTTGATTTTTATGAATCCAAATCCAACCTATAATTAATTAGTTAAACATGATTAACAAATATAATTATAAATGTATGCATACATGCACGAGGTTATTATTTACCAAATGTAATTATCATATAATTATTATACAAATGCGCAGTGTGACCATAATGTTGCCCCTCAATAACTGGATAAACAATATTTTTTGGAATGGTCCATTGAAAAGGATTTTGTGTTGTATCTAATATTATTAATTTGTCTGATTGAAAAGTGCCACCATACACAATTACTCTCCCGTCAGGAGCTAAAAAAATAAACAAACCTACTTGAGAAAATTATTTCAATTAAAAAATTATAATGATAATTAATTTTACCTAATACTGAGGAATGATCTTTTCGTTTAGAAGGTATATCACCAGCTGTTTTCTATGACAATATAAAATCTGTCAAGATTTTTTTAGTTGAAAATATAATTATTTATTTATAACTTACCATGATAGACCATGAATTCTGTAAAATACTATATAGGTATACCTAAATATGTACAAACTATTATTATTATAAATTTATGGATTTATAAATAAATAAATTATAGTACCTACAATAGTTATATAATCTTCAGTATCTCCTCCAAAACAAACCATAGTTTCATCATTTATTAAAAGGCAATTGAAAAAATCTATCCTGAGAGGTGGACCAACATTGCTTGGTGTTAAGGTTGTAAATGCCAAACTATTGGCATTGAATTTGTATATACGTGGATCATAGATAGTATCAGTCATTATATAAGTGTTTCCATTATTATCTTTTGTGTAATATGTTCCAAAAAGATCGGCTAATTCTAATTGCCCATCAAGCATCTCTGGAGTCCAGGTATCAAATGTCTTTGTTGAATAAACCATAGATCCATATGGAACATCAGTTCTAGCACCAGCTATAAGATAAAGTGTTTCATTATTAGTTCCTCCTAATGCTAATGCTACTTTTTCAAATTTAGGTAGCCCTGATTTTAAAACAATTTGTTTTATTGGCAATGGTTGGTTGCGTGAAAATGGTAAGGATAAATCAATGTAAGTTACCATGTTACTTAAAATAGAAGTTTTAGGAATTAAACTAGTTTCGCCTCCAAAAAGATAGAGTTTATCATTTATTATGATTGAACTATGAAACACTCTACTTAACAATTGACCAGTTACCAAATATTTGAAACTAAATAAAAATAAATTGATAATTATTATTAAATATTGTAAATTGACCATTTTTTTTAATGATGATGATAATAATAATAATAAATTCTTTTTATTGCATTACCCTCAAAAAATGAATTTATAGACTTTATCTGTGTAAATGTTATGAAAATAAATTTAAAATTTGATATATTATGCACTTCGTACTCAAACACATACAACAACAACAGCATAATAAATATTTTTAGTGTGGTCACAAAATTCTGGCAAAGAATATATTAATATTAGTATGTAATTATTAAATAAAAATATCAATACTTGTTAAAATAAGAATGTGACTGGGTTAAAATTCACGGGCAATTCTTTTTACAAGGCAATTTAGAAGTTTTCGCGTAAAGCTAGATTTTCAGGTCGTGGCAATAAGTTTCTTCTACTTTAAATTAGCAGCAGCTGGCCAATGAGGGTCACTACCAACAGTTGGTACATTATCATTTGATCCAAATGGTTCAATATTTCGTGATATTTTAATCAGTTTTGCTCAACTTCATAGGAAATACCGCCTCTTTTCATAGTATGCAGACATTTTTTTCTTGACCGCAGTGAACTAAGATTGTGACAAAGAATGTTGTTAATCGATGAAAATTTTAAACATTACAAATATTCTATGTAAATTAAAGTTATTAATATTTATGTGTGTATTTTATAGAACTAAATTTCGGGACAAATTAAAAAATTTAGTTTCGGTTTTCAAGCAAAATGCCGAAACTTTAGGCAGTAATTATTATTTTTGCCGAAACTATAAAATGTGCAAGCCTTTTGTGTAACTAATGATTCATAAAGCATACCGTAAAGTCTGGAAAGATAGCATCCCCTTTTTACACATGTGTAACATTTTTTTTATATTGACGCTCAATTGTTTTAAAGTAGGGGGTGCTATCTTTCGGGGGGTGCTATCTTTCCAGACTTTACGGTAATAATACTTTACCAATAATTAATGTCAGTATTGGCATTAACTATATATTAACATTAACGATTTAATAATAATGATCAAAATAATTTAATTTGAATAAATTAAACCCGTCTATTAAATAACCTTTCCACGAAAATAATATATCACTTGTGTGTGGGATATTTTTATAGTAAAAATTTATTACTTTGAAAAAAATTTAAAATAATGGTATCCGATCAAGAGACATCAAATACTTTAGATGATTATTTTCAACAAGAAAATGATGGTATATATGAAATTTCATCAATTACACCAGAATTTGTCAAATAACAAAAGAAAACACGCTGTCGATAGATCATTGTCGGAAGTTTGAGCCATTTTACAAAAGGAGATGAAAAAACCAAAGGCCATTACTAAGCAACTTGTAATATTGTCATCAGAAATGGGATAGAGCTTATCCTAGTAGATTGGAAATTCATCTAGCAAATCAATGTATTGAGTTTCAGCATTCATTTGTAGTTTCGGCAACAAACCGCAGTTTTGGCATTTTCAGTAAAGTGACCAAATTTCGGATTATTAGTTTCTATAATAATAATAATAACCTTTTTTTTCCGAGTTTCGTCATCATCACGTTTTAGTTTAGGCAAACTTCTATAATGTATTTGTTTGTAGAACAGGAAATTATTCATATTGATCAATAATACGCAGTAATTCAATAAGAGTAGTTTATACAGTAGTATCGATTATTGGTTATTAATAACTTTTTCCATGCTAATAGGCAGTAGCGTTATAACTTAGCTATAAGCATCTAAACAGAAGTATATTTAAGAAAAACAATATAAATGTTTTTTCATTAATAAATGAATATCATCAACAAACTAACTTATAAAAGAGGAATGCAATACGAGAACGATTGTTGGCAAGATATGCATATGAAATCGTAATGAAGATGGCGGGTGAGACTAAAAATTGTATAATAGTCATAATAATAATAATAAAAGCATATAATAAATTGAATATCGTTCTTTCATAACTAGCGTTTTGGGGCCGAGTGTAATAAAATATAATTACAACTGAAAACTTTTCAATTAGTAATAAGAGCAATTCTCGTAATCACTTTAATAATAATGCGAGATAGAGATAGAGAAGAAAGAAAGATAGATTCAATATTCTAATACTAATTTATTTAATTTCATTATATATGGTAAGAGGAAAAGGCAAATTAATAATATTTTCTACGAATGAAGGAATTACATCAATAATCTTACAGCTTGATGTGGTATTATAAAAAATAGACAAAAAAACATTAATATTAAACTTTCTCAAATTCTGTAAACGTATTAATATATATACACATTCTACAATGTTGACACTTCTATGGTCATTTCATACAATTTTGCCATGAATTGTCATCACTATTGGCACAAAATAATAGTAACAAAGACATAATAAAAGAGAAAGAGTGAAATGTAAAGAAGAAAAATCACTTCAAGTTCAAATATTAGAATATTGCAAGAATTCCTTAAAAAAAATTCGGATATTATTCGAAGTTGAAGATTGGATTGTATTGGGTGCTTTTTCCCACTTCACTGTGGAAAAGGCTTGTTGAAGTTTCTAACAAAGGGCACTTGCATAATTATATCATTATTTTTGTTCGATTTATTTTTTGGGACTTTATATACGATCGAGAATTTAATTACCAATTTCTTTTTTTTTTTCAAAGGAATTAATTGAAGATTATTCATATATTACTTCCAAATTGGTTTTTGGTATTATTACTTGGGTAATGCAATTTTTATTAATCCTTTACAAAAAAAAAAAAAGGAAATATATGTCGAATGACAAACATTAACTGCCTCATTGTCTCGTCAAAGGTAATTGCGAAAGAAAGACAAAAAAAAAGTAGTCTGTGAATGAGACGACTTCTTGATCCATCAATTTGTATAAATTAATTAAAGGAAACAGATGTCACAAAGCCATTTCGAAGGCTATTGGAAAAAAATCCGAGAAACAGCAACAATGGATTACAGTGTTTGTACTGAGAAAATAAGTGGCTCGCTGAAAATATTTCAGGATGCTTGTGCACTTTAAAAAAGAAATTAAGAAAGTTGAGAAAATATATAAGAATGGCTAATAAAAGATCCAGAGAAGAAGCGCATCCAAGAGAAAAGATACCAGAACGTATTAACCCACAAAAGAAAAAATTTATCTTCACTTTTAGATATTAATCTTATATAAATGAGGAACAAGTTGCTGATATTACAAAGTACAATTGTGGCGTCGAACTGCCCCAAATAGTAATAATTATAAGTAGCCCGAGTACACAATTGAGGCGTGTCTCAGACAAAAACACAAAAATGACAGGTTCACGTTAATCACCCCATCGACGGATACAATTCCTTCTTGATTTATTTATTTCTTCATCCCGTATTTTTTATAATAGAAATAAATCGTTAGCGAGAGATCGAGATTATACATATGGAGGTTTTAATGATGAGAGTGAAGAATGAGTTGAATACCTTAAGCAGTTATATGAAATCAGTAACGAGCCTGCCAAGACGAATTACGATCAGGTTCCTGATTTATAGATCGTTCCAAGAGGCTTTAAAGTACACTCTGGCACTGTTGTGTCTACCTTTAAACTGAAGGATCCATATCGTATTAGAAAAACCATTCTAGTTAAAAATATTTCTCGAAGTACATGGTTTTTTTTTACTTGAATACACTATTAACTATTTCATGAAGAAAAAAACGTTGGTACATAATATTGTCTTGTTTTTTATTTTTAATATAAACAAAAAAAAAATAAAATATATAAAAAATACTATTTAAGTTTACATATATATTTATATTATTAGGGTAAGTTTAATCCCCCAAAAGAATTTTAATTTCTATAGTTGATGATTTAGCAATATAAATAAATAAATAAATAAATAATTTAATCCCGAAAATAATTACAGAAATTTATATATAAAATATGTATAGGATTTTTTTTGGATTGATTAAAAAAATCATTGATGGTAACTTATTAATTAATTAGTCGTTATAAAACCCACTTTAGAAATTAAGTAGATATTGTTTGATTCAAAATTGCATGGCTAATTGATTCCTCACGGGCAACCTCTTCCTCATGAACTACTTCGTGAACTATTTCTTCATGAACTACTTCTTCCTCTTGATGTTCTTCATCCTTAACAACCTCTTCCACGTGATTTTCTTCCTCCACTACTTGGGTTTCATGAACTTCTTCGTGATGTTCTTCCTCCACTACTTGGGTTTCATGAACTTCCTCGTGATGTTCTTCTTCCACTACTTGGGTTTCATGAACTTCTTCGTGATGTTCTTCCTCCACTACTTGGGTTACATGAACTTCTTCATGATGTTCTTCTTCATGACGCTCTTCTTCGTGGTGTTGTTCTTCGTGGTGTTGTTCTTCGTGACGTTCTTCCTCGCGATGTTCTTCTTCAATGGCTTCTTGATTTTCAGAGACTTTGGAATCGCTAGCTTCAGATTTAGTTTCTTCTTCTTTTGAACTTTCTATTTTATTCTCATCTTTATCTTTTACTACTTTTTTAGCGGGAGGCTTCTTCAATGGAGTTTTGGCTTTTGTTTTTGATGTAGGAGTAGTTTTAGAAGTATCTTTTGATATAGTTTTGGAATGAACACCTCCGGGAGTAGGTCGTTGAGGTTGAGGAACTTTTGTACTTTTCCCATCGGTTGTAGTAGAAGTACCAGTTTTAGGTGCCGAGCTGATTTTAGACGTGGTAGTGGTCGGTGATTTTTTTGGGGCGATCTTTGTTGTTTTAGTGGCAGTGGTAGCAGCTGGCTTAGTTTTTTCTATAGATGTTGATTTTTGATGTATCGATGACGATGTAGTAGTAGTAGTAGGTTTAGATTTATTTGAAGTAGCACCAATTTTAGACTTAGTAAGAGAGGGGGAAGAAGAATTGGTTTTATTGGTAGCAGGAGATTTAGTTCTAGAAGCTGAACTTGTACCAAGTGTTTTAGTTGTAGATGTTGTTGGTGTTGTTGGTTTTTTTAAACTTGAAGCAGTTTTAGAATTTGTTTTAGAAGGTGGGGTAATAGATGAAGGTTTTTTAATGCTAGAACCGATAGTACTAGTACTTGGTCTTTTAATAGCTTTTTTTGGTCCACCATTATGACTGGTAGTGGTGGCACTGGTGGTGGATGTAGTAGTAGGCTTTGGTGTCTCTTCAGGAGCATTATTACTATTATCATTATTGATTGTTGATGATGTTGATGTTGTTGTTGCTGTTGATTCTGATTCTATTTCTTTATGTTCTTCTTCATTAACAACAACACTCTCCTTAGTTTCTTCTTGTACAATTTCTTGCACAATTTCTTCTTGCACGTTTTCTTGTGTGCTTGTTTCTTGTACGCTTTCCTGTACACTTTCTTGCACACTTTCTTGCACACTTTCTTGCACACTTTCTTGCACACTTTCTTGCACACTTTCTTGCACACTTTCTTGCACACTTTCTTGCACTATTTCTTGCACTATTTCTTCTTCTTTATGGACAGCTTCCTCTTCTTCTTTAGTCTCTTCAACACTTAAAGTTATTTGTTCTGTTTCTTCTTTTTCACCATTGGAAACAGTTTCTTTTTCTTCATTAACAGCTTCTTTTTCATTTGTTGTAGTAATGCTTTCAGAAGTTGGACTAGTCGACTCTTCTTTACTACTATTGTTTTTTTCAAAAGCCGAAATTAACTTCCCAGGAATGGGACTGCGAGCACGAGGTTGGGACCGAGCACTTTCGTCAAGGTTATTCTCAAATTTGTCAATAAGAGACGATACAGGTTTAAGTTTTGTATGGTCAGGAATAACCATCTAATAAATATATATATTAATGTATATATTATTCAATTATTACTATTAATTATTAATAAATATATTTTTTTGTAGTTGAATAAAAAGAAACAACACAAACCTTTTTTTTCCTTTTTATAAATAATTAAATGAAATTTGAAATTTCTAATGAAATTAATATTTTTTTCAAATCCAAAAAAATAAAAATATGATAAAGAAAAAAAAAGAAACAAGTTTTTTTTTATATTGGATTACTAGTATAACACTTGAGATATGATTGTTGAACAATATAGTTTTTTTTTTCTATCTTTTATCATCGATTTTCAAATTAAATTAGGAAATTGTGTGGCCAACTTTCTAATTATATATATAAAATAGTAAATTATCTTTATTTGCAAGAGAAAAAAACACTAGATTATCCGAGAGCATGATCGATGGATTCATTATATTATTAATATAATGAAATATAACGCCTTTACTATAATAGAATTTGAATAATATGGGAACAAAGTAATGGTGCACAGTGACGATCAATCCTACAATTATACCATTTTTATGTCTTGCTTGACTCATGACTTGCCTAGCTGGATGGGATAATGATCATCTGATATAAATCTAAATGTGTAACGTGTAGAGTAATTGGGACCCGGACAGTCATATCACAAATGGATAAGGCTAAGCTCAAGAAACCCTTCAGAAGGACCGAAAAAAATCGATTGACATGTGGACGTACACACTATTTAATATTAACGGTAATTAGTAATAGGTCACTAATACATTTTGATTATAGGTTTTGTGAATTTATTTCCTAAGCAGAAAAACTCACTCGCCCTAGGCGCTTGATTTTACGGTCATCTCCTCAAAATACTCAATTTGTTACACTGACCTTTTTTTTAAAAGATAATATAACAACAAAACTTTGTTATTATTGTGTTCGATGAAATTCTACTGTGAATTAGAATCCCTATATAGATTTATAGGTTTATATGTAAATTTTTAATTTAAGAAAATATATACTAAACATTTTAAGCATTTTAAATGAACATGAAAAACAACAACAATAATTATAAATCAGAGACCTGTAAAACAAAAAATCGCCTAGTACAACATTAAAAACACATACATTCGAGTATTGTGGATATTCATTATTATTATTGCTTGTCAGAATTTGAAAAATGCTTAAAAAATTTTTGATTTTAGGAAAAAAAATTTTTTAACCGTTCCATGTAATAAGGGTGTGCTTAAAGATGATTTTCATATTCTCATGTTAAAAGATTATGTTTATTGGAGAAGAGGGCAATGAAAATTATTTAGGTAATGTAGTTTGGCCAATTGGGAATTTTAATAATAATCAACAAGCATTATTAATAGTGAGGTAAAGATTATTTGGAAGGAGGTTAAAATACTAGAATCTAAGTATGATAATGTATTTTCTTCTAATTTGGTTAAATTTTTTTTATAGATAAGGTAGATTTTATTAATTATATTTATAACAAATCTTCCATTTTTTGGAAGTTATTAATTCTCAATCATTAAATGTAATAATTTGTTATTGAAGGATAAATAATATCATTAGAGAAAGATCAGTGGAAAGTGAGAAATAGATGAAACAGAAATAAATATCATAATTAAAATGATACAATCTTTTTTGGATATGCTAAAGTGAGGCTTTGAGACCACATCCATTTATTTAAAAATCCTATTAAACATTTAATCGAGTAGCTTGCAAAGCCTCTTCTCAAATCAGGACAGGTAATTACTATACCCAATTTGTTATTATGTGGGTTTTTAGAAATATGCGATCAAATACATAGTATATGTAAATAAAAATATTATTATTATTATTGAGCAAAGAACATTTAAAAGAGAAATATAACAAATTGCCTTAATCTTTATAATAAAATAAAATAATTATTATTTTTATAAATACTTCTAATTTATCATATTTACAATCTATTATATTAATATTTGAATCACTACTATAACTACTAAGGCTGCTGAAACTTTGTCAAAACTCTAATAAACAATTAGTGTGTACCTTGCCAAAACTCTGCCAATTGCCAAAGCCCCAAAATGCGGAACTTTGCCGAAACAATCAGTAACTCTGCTGGTTGAGTTTTGGCAAGCAACCATAATAACTACTAATAATCTAAAATAAGATCCCAACCACCACCAAATATAGCTAATATTATTAGAATGACTAAATTTCCAGACCATGTTTCTTAACAGCATAACTAAACTGTGTAGAATTAATATCTAATATTAAAAATAAAATTTTCAGTTGTATTTTTTTACATATTATTAAATTCAAATCAAATGAATTATAGCCTCCTACTAATTGGTCTATTGCACATGTTGCCAAATTAATTTGGCTTTGACTCAATTCCCAAAACCTCATTTTTATTTTTATTTTTTCAAAAAGTCACCTGATTGAATCAAGTGATCAACTATGATTCGAAAAGTGCATAATTAAATTTAAAATCCAAATAGCTCATTTTGGTTAATATTTCTTAAACAGAAGAAATCAACTTTCGAGATTCGCGTTAATATGATCAGGTTTAATTTGGCGGTGACATTCAATGGAGTTTTCCTAACTACCCTCTCTGGTTGGACAAAACTAAAAATTATCATGATATTTTTCATATAATGATTAAAGAGTCGTTATGTGGATAATAAAAAACGGGAATTGGTCGTTTTTAAAAAAAAATGGCAAGACTTTTTTGAAAGTGTAAAGGGAACAGAATAATTCACAATAATAATTTTCTTATTGTTGACGAAAAATTGACTGTCTTTTTGAAAAAATACAAAGGCGATGATACTCTGTTACCATTAATTTGAAAAAAAAACGAAAATTGGTCGTTTGTGAAAAAAACCTGACCAAGACTTTGTTTGAAAGTGTATTTTGACCACTACTAAAAAAGAAACAGGATAATTCGCGATTAATTTCTTTATGTTATTGACGAAAAACTTAAAGAAGATGCCTCACCGCTACAAAAAAACATGACAAACGATAACTCGTAAAATGGTTTTTTCAATTATCAACTAATCGTAAAGTGTGTTTTTAGCATTTTTAGTGTTAGTATATAGCATAAGAAAGACATTGTTTTACTGATTAGTTAGCATTAGTAATTATTTAATTTAAAAAATCAACAATTGAATTAATATAATAACTATGCAATTAACCTATTTTAACTTAAATAATTCAAAGTTAACTTTGCCCAATTACAGTTTGGACCAATAAAAAATTAATTTCGAAATTTTAAAAATCTAAAACGCAATTAATTATTTGGTATAATGAATTTTAGATGTGATTTTCTTATATATCCTTAGATTCATTGAAACAAATAAAAGAACCTTTATCTGAAGGAAATTTTGGGCGATCTGCAATAGCTGGCAGAGCAAAAGCAAAGTGTAGAATTACCAAGAGTATCCCTTTAGAAATCGAGTACTCAAAGTTTGCTATAGTTGGCTCGGTCTAAAGGCCTCCTAAATTTTGTGCAAATTTTAAAAGTATAAAGTCAATTCCTGTCCTACTTTTTAAAAAGTAGCTCTATTAGTTGATAGAATAAGTCTTTAATTTTAATGTAATGGGGAGATTTTCTCAAAAAAATTATTTGTTGTAAAGTTCTATTCTTTTTTAAAACTATGCTCATGAGCATAGCGGATATTAGTATAATTGGTAATGATTTTCGTTGATCATATTTTGATTTTATATAAATTTCAAAATAAAAGCAAGTTTTGAGGTTAGAGTCATAAACTATAAAACTTATTGGTAAACATATATAAAATTGTTATCCTAAGCAATTTTTGAATAAATGTCATTTGATTTTTAAAAAAAAAACAATATCAAAATTTATAAATTTTATTCTTTAATGATCAAACCAATCTTCAATTTATAATCATTAGCGACTCTTAAAAGTTCCTCTTGTTCGCTAATTTCGTACAATTTTAAAAGTGCAGTTAGTTCTTTTTTAGCAACATAATTTTTAGCATCCGTCTCATGGGTAAACCACATGGAAGTTCTAACGGGTTCTCTACCATCAATTTTTAATGAATAATTGAATCTACCTTCTCCTACTTCGTTTGGAATGAAATGTACTTGCCCTATTTTGAATTTTATACAGAATTCTTGAAGTATTACATATGGTAGTTTGTCTGGATTCTCAGCGGTTATTCTATTAATCCAAAGTTTGGATTGAGGTACCGTGCATTCTTTATCATGAATATTGAAGTTGTCAACTCTGATTTTATGTAAGTCAATTAATTTATCCAAGTTAGGATTTCGTTTGAATTCTAGCTCCTTGATTAGCCGAACATCATATGGCCTGATACGTGTAAGATAGGCAACACATTTATCAGCCGACTCTCTCCGTGCTTCTTCAACAGTATTATATGCACAAGATTTAAATTTATTTCCGAGATATTTAAGTATACATGTGAAGCGCTTTGCTGGTTTGTTCTTTACAATTTTTTTAATTTGCTCATTTTGTCCATCATCTTGCCCGTCAAGTTCAATTTGTTGATTTGGCTCATCAACATCCATTTTATCTTCTACTTTATTGAGCTTAGGTTGTGGTAGTGTGACTATAGTGTATTTAGGCTGATCTCCTATAATGATTTTTTGATGAAATGCGTTAAGAAAAGCCTGTGAACAATGTTTTACTTCTTCCATCTCAGTGGAAAACACATTATCTTCTATTTGAATTACGGCGATCAGAGTATCAAAAAGATGACTTTTTTTAATATATTCTATACATTGCAAAGCAACATTTCTTTTGGCATTTCTTTTTTCCAATTTTAATTTATTCTTTTTTTCAGTTTGACATGTAAACACACGATTAAAATATTCAAGTCTGCTCAACACGACATTCTTTTCACGATCATACTTGACTATATACTCTGGTGCTTGTGAGCCTTCCACTTCAGCATTTTTTTTTTCATGAAATTTATCCAAGAAAGCGACTGGATTGAAATCTTTGGAGCCTATTGTAAGCGCCTTTGACTTCTTTTTTTTCTCGATTTGCTCCAATAGCACCTTTGAAACATTGATTTCTTGACCTCTAGGACTAGTATCAACAAAGCCAGGAGTGATTTCTCGGTTAATAGCGAGTTTTAGTTTACTATGTTTTTCTTTAGTTTCTTTAGGCATTATTTTTATTTTCTTTATTATTTTTAAAGGTGGAATCAAAATAATTTTTAACTATGTTATGTGTGAGCGAGTTTACTGTTATTGAAATAATAATATTTTTTTTTATTTTTTTTTTCGTGTCACCCACCAAACACGTATTTCACAAATAAAAATTATTATAGCTCCCTCCCTAATATTAATATTTATTGATCTGCAATTGCAATTGCAATGATATGTATATCAAAAAATTATTAATTGAATTGAAAAAATCGAGAATCAAAATTGTATATACTTTCATCATTTTCAAATAAATGGCGAGGAAAATTGTTGGGATCATTATGAACAAATGTTGGCAAATTTGTATCATGTTGTTGTTGTTGATGCTATTGCTTGATTGGCTCTTGATTATTATGTGAAATGGTTATTCCAGAAGATTCAATTGGAGTAAAAGTTGTTGCTGTCGCTGTTGCTGTTGTAGTTTTATTATTATAATAATAATTATTGCTGGAGGAGGAGGTGGTGGTGACAGTTATAACAGATGTATTGATTGATGTCATCATCATACTAGGTGATGGTGATGTTGTTGTTGTTAACAATTTCGTTGCTGTTGTATTTAGATTCGATAGTTTAGAAAATACTGGACTAGTTTTTGGAGGAGTATTTGAAATTAAGTGTTTCCTGAACAACTCTAGATCAAACATGTTGACCACATTTTCATTACTGTTCATATTGATATTGCCATTGATATTCCCAATGCTGTTCATATTGACATGGCCATTGACATTTATATTATTATTGTTGTTGTCATTTCTGCTACTTGTAATATTGCAATTATTATTGTTGGATTTAATTAAACAACCTCTCACTTGATAAAAATTAATGAGTGCTTGTACAATTTCTTCCCATGAATCAAGTATTTTATGACATATTGGGCATGTCCAAGTAGGAGTCTGCCTGTTCATTCATCTTAAAGTATGAGTAAACATCAAAACATTGAAGATGATTACATTGGATTGATCTACATGGTAAATCAATTCTACTATGTGACAACTAATAAAATGAAAACTTGCTATTTTAATAACAAACTATGGATTAAAAAAATTTTTTTATTAATTAATTGTAATGTACTGTGTCCTTCAATGAAACTACACTTGAAGTCACAACAACCTCAGAATCTTGATATGATTTTTTAACTGTAAAAATATTAAAGTCAATAGATAAAAATTTATAAATGTGTCATATGTATAAATACTTTTTTAAATATAAAGTTAAATTTCTTACTTTTCTCTCGAACAATTTCTTTTGAGATATACTTTCCGTTTTTAATTCTATTAACAATCTCTTCTATTGTTACCTTTTTCATTAAATATAACATAAGTACATAATCCTAATAATGATGATATAATAATAATTAAATGTTAATAATGAAATAAAATTTTATTTTTAACAAATAAAAATATGATTTTACTTTTGAAGTATTTTCATAATAAAATTCGATCTTATTTTTGCATGATGAATCTTTTTTGCAGAGCTCCATTATATCTTGAGGATGAACTGTCCCAGGTCTATTCTTTAAACCTCTTAAATTCTAAAAATATAAATAAAGACAAATAAATGAAAAATCAATTGATATATGTTCCTACTTAATTTCATGAGATCTAATGTGATGATAATTACAGCATCAACATTTGTTTTGTTGACTTTAATCAGACAAAGATTTGGGAAATCAATCAATGCTTCTTGCCTGTTGACATCATCTGAACAGCAAAATAGTTGTAGTTGATAAATTCCATTCAATCCTTGTAATAATTAATGAATTAATAAATTGTAAAATAATGATGATAAAAGTATAAAAATATAAAAAAGAAGTTTTTTTTGATTTCTTTCATAGAAGTTTGATTTTGATTGACATTCGCAATTATCACGTTTACATTTTTAGTATCCACTGTTGGCAATTGGACATTACACCATGTATACCTTTTTGGTAATTTGGATGCGCCAATGTACAGTACTATTTTTGGTAATCTTAATCATCAAAAATTATTTTATGATCTACTTTGCAAAAAAAAACTTTTTTTAATAAAACATGATTCAACTTAAAACAGTGTTAAATGTAATAGATAATTCAGGTGCTCTTCTTGCAGAATGTATCAGAGTAGCTCATGGTGGAAGATATGGTCGCATTGGTTGGTATATATATTTATAAAATGAATTATAATTTTTATTTGAAAAATTATTTATTTATCAAAAAAAAAAATTATTAATGGTTAAAAGAATAAAAATCAGGAGATCCAATTACAGTGGTGATTAAAAGAGCCCGTCCCATTCCACAAGTAACTTCTCAGACAGCAGCAAGCGCTGCGGCTGCAAATACTCCAGCAGGAAAATTGATGATTCGTAAGGGTGAAGTACGTAAAGCTCTTATTGTTCGGACAAGAAAGGAAACAAGAAGACCTGATGGTCGTTATATAAGATTTGATGATAATGCCTGTGTACTTATAAATAATCGTGGTGAACCATTAGGAACAAGAATACTTGGTGTTATTGGTGCTGAATTGAGAGATAAAAAATGGGGGAAGATTGTTAGTTTAGCTCAAAGAGTTGTTTAAATCCAAGTATTGTTTTTTTAATATTTGCTTTTTTTTTAAATCAAACTATTCATTCTAGTCAAAATTTATTTTTTTAATATTAACAATATAAAAATAACAATAAAAGTAAATAAAAATAATAAAATATTATTTGTCAAAGAAAAATCAAGATAACAAAAAATGTGGTTTGATGGGGTAAAAGATTAATCTCCATCAAAATCAAATCTGCCTCCATCACCAAAATTTCCATATCCATTACCACACCAAGAAAATCATTTAATGAAGTTATGTCAAAAGCATCACCTCTAGAGCCCCATTTATTTTTAAATTAAATTAATAATAAATATAAATCTGTTAATTATTTGCAATTTCAAAGCCTCCATTAAAGTTACTGATGAACAATAACAACAAAGTGTTTATCCAGTTCGAAAGACAGCTTCTACTAAAACTTTACATCAATATCAATATCAACATCAACAACATCTCAAAATATTTACCCTTTATCTATACTGATAAACATCAATATTACCATCAAAAAAATATTTATCCAGCTCCAGAAGTGGTTTTCATGAATGCCAATGAACATTATCATCAGCAAGAAGAACAAAATATTTATCCTGCACCTTTCAATTAAATCACAACACTGGCAACAGCATGTTTTTGAACATAAAATATTTGTTTAAAAAATAAAGAAAATAAAGATAGTCAATGGAGTGACAGAGAAGTAGAAATTTTAATTGCCTATCTGGATAAGATTATAAGAATTGGTCCTCTGGTAATAAAAACAAATTTTATCAAGCTTTGATTGATAAAATTTGTTGACTGGTAAAAAATAATGAGCAAATAAAAAATAAGTTGAATAAATTATGTAATTCATATTTAAAAGAAAAAAAATCAGTTAATAAGACTGGATCAGCACCAACTGGTTTGACAAATTAGATGAAATATTTGGTACAAGAGAGAATGTAAGTCCTACATATTTGGCATTTGTCCACTAATGATACATACACAGATAATGAAGAAGTTGAGGAAATAAACCCTCCCAAAAAAAAGATGAATTGAAAAATAAAAAATAAAAAAAAATAATTATGAAGCTCTTTCAGATTTAATGGTTTTGATGAATCAATCTAAAAATAACTTCTTTGTTAAAAAAAATGAATTGCAAGAGAAAGAAATTGATTCCAAAATACAATTGGAAAAGTACAAAATTGATAAAGAGATGGAACTAAGAAAATTAGAATTAGAAATTCAAAGAGAAAAATTGTAGGTGGAAATTTTAAAAAAAAAATTAGAATTAGAATCAAAAAAATTATGTTATCTATTTTATTGATATAGACATTGGAATACTTTCATACTCTCAGAAGCAAAATAAAAGATGCTACTTGTATTTTTTTAAATTTATTTCTGATAAACTCAATCAATTTGCCAGCTCCAAAGAAGTTAGATATTGGAAAAAAATCTGAAAAAGTTAAATAAACAAGTTGCAATCTCTGGGACAAGATAGATAAAACTGATCAGAACTCCCCTTATATAATTGAGCTATCTTGCATATACATGAAGCTGAAATTAAAACCCCAAAGTCAAAATGTTTTGACTTGAGGCAACTACATAGTAAAAATCAGTTTTGACCTTATTTCAACCTTATTTCAACCAGATCTGCAAACAGTCAAAATAGTTTCAACTTCATGTATAATCTTGCAGAGAGCATTCAATAAAGAAGAACTACAATATAAAAATAATATCATATTTGGTGTTATGGCAATCTTGATGTTCTTGGATTCAATATATGATCAAGCTGAAATTTTGGCTTTGAAGGTACAGGAGCATATGAAACAATGGAGCTCTAACTCACTTATGAAAGGTTTAATAAATTATTTATATTACATATTGTTTGATTTTAATATATTTATTCCATTCTAGCTTGGATGTGAAGAGTTATTAGAAGATTCTAATCAAGAGAATAATTTGAAAGAAATTGAAGGCATAGAAAGTAATGACAATGAAGATGAAAAAAATGAGGGTAATTCTAGTGATAATAATGAAGAGAAATAATAAAATACATATTTCATATTTCACTTAAAATTAGTTTAATTTTAATTTTATATTTATTACTACAGTGAACCCTCTATAAGTGCACCCCCCTCAGGAACATAGTGCCATTTCTTGTGAGTGTGTGCATTTATGGAGGGTGATTTTATAAGCTCTCTATAAGCTTGGGGATGAGATGGGCAGTGCATTTATGGAGGGTATACATAGTGCATGCATTTAGGGAGGGTGCACTTAGGGGAGGGTTCACTGTATTTATTAGCATTATGTAAAAAAGAAAAAATATATATGATTGGCTTGGTCTAAAGACTTCCTATTGCTGCGCCACACGCTCAAATTGCGATTTCAAAAATGCAATAAAAATTTTAAAAAAAGGGTTTCACATGATTTTGGTTTAAAAATTATTATCTTACCGCCAAATTTAGATATGATGGTCGAGTATTAGTTAAATTTAGTAATGATGATCAAAAACTAGTCTAAATTTAGCAGTGATCCTAGCACTCAAATTTCTCATGAGCATAGTAAAGTACATGTTTTAAAAAAGAATAGAACTCTACAAAAAAGATTTTTTTAGAGAAAAACCCTTTATTACATTAAAACTAAATGCATATTCTATCAACTAATAGAGCTATTTTTTAAAAAGATAGGACAGAAAATGACTTCTATACTTTTAAAATTTGCCCAAAATTTAGGAGGTCTTAGACTGAGCCAACTATGCTATGTGTTATATAATAAATAAATAATACAATGCTATGCATCCTACACATTGATTTACATGTTGTTTTATGTGGGGCATACTGCAACAAAACCAGACAAAGTGAACATTTTCACTACTAAGGATTTCAGGGATCAAAATTTAGTCATTTTGTAATGTGTTTATAATTAACAGTTATATAATAATTCCATTTGTTAAGTGATACATAGAACTATCCCTATATAAAAATCATTAATATGAAACTCATCTACATTAGATCTACCATGGAACCAAAAAATTACAGCACCATTAGAAGTATTTTGAAAAAGGAACAAGGTGAAAAAATTGCTCCTTATATTTTCAAAATAAATGATACTCAGGCAATTGAAGCTTATCTAAGGAAAGAATAGATTACTTATGAAATTTACCAAGAAGAAAAAAAAATAATAAATGTTGGAAAAAGAAAGCAGAATGAAAATGTGCTATTACCTAACAAAAAGCAGAAATCCTTAGAAGGAAAATAACTACCATACCAAACAAATCTGAACCATTTTACTTTACAACTTTCTCCTTGATGCCATTGATCATGGTGACTATTACAATAGGAGTGGGCAGAATCGAACTGCCACCTTTATACTTGTAAGATACATGCTCTCATTGAACTACACTTCTCTATCATAAAGTAGGAGGTTATATGGGCAAAGGTCCCCATTTTAAAAAACAACAAATTCAGTTGATCAAATAAAAATTTACAAAACAGAAAATTTGGGAATGATTAATTTATAACATACCAAAAAAAAATATCAGAACCATTTTTATTTTACAGCCTTTCTCCTACATCAGAGCCCAAATGCAATTTCAGGGTCACCAACCCTGCTTTGAATTGTGACCTCCTGTGCTTGAAACAAGCTGCATACTCTCTTAATGTTCCTCCAGAGTTGTGATAGCTTAGTCACAGAACCATCCTTCCCTAGATGTTGGATCGTTGCAGTCAACTTGTCAGCTAACATGCCAGCAGCCTTCTTCTCTGGTCTGTGAAGATTAGTGAAAGTGTCATTGCCAATGATGCAGTCTCAGTAAACTCCAGGGCCATATGCCCCCTCCCCAAAAATTCAGTTTAAGGTTGCTTGCTGAAACTCCTCCAGAAATCAATCAGCAGGGTTTCAGCAGGTTACACATTAATTGTTGAGGTTTTGCCATTTCAGCATAGTTTCAACAGGATTTTTGATAAGATTTAATATAGTTTTGCCATGGTTTCAGCA